AGGACTATAATATATACTGGAGGAAATAAAAATGACTTTTGATGCCCTAAGTGTCCCTCCACCCTATCTTCTTTTTTTTTGCTTCTCAGGAAATTCTGGTCTGGAACCCCTTCCTCTACCTCCGAGAAAAAAAAAATTCTGGATCTTGTAACTGAATGTAACGTCGATAACGGGGAAAACTCAGAATGTGAAAACCGTCTATTGTAACATCGGATGACCTTTGATCCTTTAGACTTGATCCAAATGGTTTGCATTTCAGACTATTTTACCCAAATCTATACCAAAACTTGTACTTACCGATTGTTATTTTTTAGGTCCTGTCATCTTCGTGAAATATAATCCAATTAAAACACAAAATGAAATAATTCCTACTGACATACATGTAATGATGTGTACACCACACTAGTAGCCTAGGGCACGTGCAGTGAAATCTAAAAATGATGATGCCAATAGTAAAACTAGTACTTAAGTTCGGTACGTGACGCAAGCCCAATGAATGTGATGCAGGTGTTCAGTTACATGTATATTGCAAGAACAAATTGAAAATTATCATTTACAAAAGATGTTTTATCCTAACTTTGCCATCTAGGCCTATTTCCAAAAACAGGCAAATAAGGTCTGTTTGTGTGAGTGTGTTTATGGGAGAGGGATGGGGGTTGACTTAATTGAATGTGTGTACTGTATACTGTGTGGTATATGGCAGCTTTCAAGAAGTTTCTGCCTAATCAAATATAAGAAAATCTTTGCACATTTTGAAAAATTCATCAAAAACGCTTTACACTAATTTGAATAACATTATTTGTTGAGCTATATGAGAAAATAGATTTAAAAAGTTCCAATTATGTGCCAAAAATTTATACCCCCCCCCCCCCTTTATCAAACCTAATTTACGTCATTAATTTAATTCTGTTGTTTAATTTCTACGGAAGCGTATTAGTGCCACTTGGACACTTCACTTTTTTTTTTAAATTTCTACACTTTAAAGTGTAAATTTTACACTTTAATCTGTAAATTTTACACTTTAAAGTGTAAATTTTACACATTAATCTGTAAATTTTACACTTTAATCTGTAAATTTTAATAATCTGTACACTTTAATCTGTAAATTTTACACTTTAATCTGTAAATTTTACACTTTAATCTGTAAATTTTACACATTAATCTGTAAATTTTACGGTTTAAAGTGTAAATTTTACACTTTAATCTGTAAATTTTACACTTTAAAGTGTAAATGTTACACATTAATCTGTAAATTTTACACTTTAATCTGTAAATTTTACACATTAATCGGTAAATTTTACACTTTAAAGTTTAAAATTAACACTTTAATCTGTAAATTTTACACTTTAATCTGTAAATTTTCCACTTTAATCTGTAAATTTTCCACTTTAATCTGTAAATTTTACACTTTACACTTTAAAGTGTAAATTTTAGACATTAATCTGTAAATTTTACACTTTAAAGTGTAAAATTTACACTTTAATCTGTAAATTTTACACTTTAAAGTGTAAATTTTACACATTAATCTGTAAATTTTACACATTAATCTGTAAATTTTACACATTAATCTGTAAATTTTACACTTTAAAGTGTAAATTTTAGACTTTAATCTGTAAATTTTACACTTTTATCTGTAAAATTTACACTTTAATCTGTAAATTTTACACTTTAATCTGTAATTTTTACACTTTTATCTGTAAAATTTACACTTTAATCTGTAAATTTTACACTTTATTTGTTTATTCACATAGTCAATTTAGCAACTTCACACATTCCCAGTAACACATTTTAAAGCCAACAGACCGTTAATCATGCAAGATAATTACGGAAGCGTAATATCAATCTGAACTGCAAATAAAAAAATCTTTGAGATATATATTTTTACTTTTCGTTACACTATAGTAAAACTAAAGAAACACATGTATATACATGTAAACTGAAACAAAAGCAGATCTCTGATATCTTATGCTGGGTAAAATTACGAGACCCATGAGGAAATATCCATTGTTGTTTATCATATGCTAATAAACAAGTACGAGTACATATGTAAAATAAAAATATACAAACAATTGTAAACATCTTAGTTTAATACTTTTTCACAAGTGTCAGAGGTAAAACATCACAAATCGACCGTTCGATCATAACCTATTGCAGTTCAAGTTGTTCAAAATAAAGTGTAAATTTTACAGATTAAAGTGTAAAATTTACAGATTAAAGTGTAAAATTTACAGATTAAAGTGTAAATTTTACACTTTAAAGTGTAAAATTTACAGATTAATGTGTAAATTTTACAGATTAATGTGTAAAATGTACACTTTAAAGTGTAAAATTTACACTTTAAATTGTAAAATTTACAGATTAATGTGTAAAATTTACAGATTAAAGTGTAAATTTTACAGATTAAAGTGTAAATTTTACAGATTAAAGTGTAAAATTTACACTTTAAAGTGTAAAATTTACAGATTAAAGTGTAAAATTTACAGATTAATGTGCAAAATTAACACTTTAAAGTGTAAAATTTACAGATTAAAGTGTAAAATTTACACTTAAAAGTGTAAAATTTACAGATTAAAGTGTAAAATTTACACTTTAAAGTGTAAATTTTACAGATTAAAGTGTAGAAATAAAAAAAAAAGTGAAGTGTCCAAGTGGCACTAATACGCTTCCGTAAAATATACCCTTTAAAGTGTAAAATTTACAGATTAATGTGTAAAATTTACAGATTAAAGTGTAAAATTTACAGATTAAAGTGTAAATTTTACAGATTAAAGTGTAAAATTTACACTTTAAGTGTAAAATTTACAGATTTAAGTGTAAAATTTACAGATTAAAGTGTAAATTTTACAGATTAAAGTGTAAAATTTAGACTTAAAAGTGTAAAAATCTACAGGTTAATGTGTAAAATTTACAGATTAAAGTGTAAAATTTACACTTTAAAGTGTAAAATTTACAGATTAAAGTGTACAATTTACACTTTAAAGTGTAAAATTTACAGATTAAAGTGTAAAATTTACAGATTAAAGTGTAAAATTTACACTTTAAAGTGTAAAATTTACAGATTAATGTGTAAAATTTACAGATTAATGTGTAAATTTTACAGATTTAAGTGTAAAATTTACAGATTAATGTGTAAAATTTACAGATTAAAGTGTAAAATTTACACTTTAAAGTGTAAAATTTACAGATTAAAGTGTAGAAATTAAAAAAAAAGTGAAGTGTCCAAGTGGCACTAATACGCTTCCGTAAATTTCAGACTGGTAATGTATTATGAATATAAAATATCTATACGATGGGGGCCCATGGGTCACATGGTCACTCGAGCATATTATGCTCAATTTGATGAATACATGTAATATGTAAATTATTGAATTATATTGACTTTTTCCTTAGTAAAGCCCAATATGAAGGAGTGTGCATTTAGAGGCAAACACCTTAGTGCGGGTATTACTGTCTCATGACAGCATCTAGTTAATTTTTTGTTTTTTTAGAAATATATAAAACTTAATGTCTACATGCTTCCAACACCTATATCAATTTAACAGCCACAATAATTTTTGTAACCTTCTGACGCCCAAAGATGCCTTTTGACAAATTCTCAGAATTGCTGATATTGAATTGTTGGTGCTTTTTCAAATAACTAGGATGAAACAAAACAAGGTGTAATTAATGCAACTAGAGGAGATGCATAACATTTTCTTTATTCAATGTTTTTTTGCGAAAAAAAAAACATACGTTAGATTGCATATTCCTTTAAGTACATTCTTAAATTGGTACAACTGTTACATGAGGTTTGGCAGTGGTGTTTATGATTGTAATGGAACCCAGATTTAAATAGGTGTCAAAATGAGGAACAGTGAAACGTTTTGGCGATTTATGAAAAGATTCAATGTAAAATTTTAAAGCACCAGTAAATAACATCACGATATTTCACCTTTAAATCTTCATATGATTTTAACCTTTATTGTGTATTAAGAATAGTGTCTCCTTAAAGACATGTCTAAATATCAGGTCTCTATCATAAATGGATTTAAGCTACTTTGCATTCAAAAACGGACTGTCATATAAAACCTAGATTGCAAAGAAACATTCTAAAATATAGGCTCTCAAATGAACAATATAAAGGATTCTTTAACCTTTCGGTAATCTCTAGAGGAAAGCAAACTGTAGGATCTGTTTAATGCAAGGAGATAAACAATTACGAAATGGAATCTATATTTTGATTGATTGATTGTTTGATTGTATGTTGTTTAACGTCCCTCTCGAGAATGTTTCACTCTTGAATACGTGTATGGAAGCGTCACCACTTGTTGGTGGAGAGCTACAAATTATGTCCTATCCTCGGCACTCAGGGACATTGAGCATTGAGGGGTCTTTTTTCGTGCCAGCACATTCTGCGAGACGGGTTCTCGGTTAATACGTATACGGTCTCATCTCAAGGACCGGTATCCGCAGTGAAGTTCGAACCCGCGACGAAATGATCAACTCCTTACTTCACGACTCTTGAGCAGCTAAACGGACGGACGGACATACTGATTACTATATACCCTACCGCTTATCAAGCGGAAGTGTAAAAATGACCCCCGAGCTATAGAAAAAAAAATCATTTTTTATATGTGGATTGTATAAAATTGCCCCCGTTGAAAAAAATGACCCATTTTAGCATACAAAATTTACATGTTTAAACTGATGCAAAGCATTAAATCGGCAGCATAAATACATGTGTATCATTTTAATGAATTTTCACAATAAATCCATAGGAAAATAAAAAAAAATACATGTGCGCATGGTACATATCATTAATTAATTTTCAGTGTGATGAAACGAAGAAAATAAATTCGTGTATATCAGATAGGGCACCTGCACTAGCCAGAGGTCCTGATCATGGATCTCTGACATGAAAGAAAGCGAAACAGACGGACAACATACAAAGAAAAAAACTCATATGACATAAAAGCAAAATTTGTATTTTTTATTTAACTCTGAATAAATATCTTTGTTAGGTGAATGCTTCCAAAGAGTAGACTTAGTGTTTGTCTTGGATTCATCTACAAGTGTGGGAAACGAGAACTTTGGGAAAATGCTAGATTTTGTCAAAAACTTCTTACAAGCTACCAACATTGACGGAGGTGAAGTTAGAGTTGGTATTGCGACGTATAGTACAGAGGCAAGGATAGAATTTAATTTGAAAGACTATACCAATAAAAATGATTTGCTTAAAGCTGTTAATAACATTTCCTGGCAGTACGGCAGCACAAATACAGCCGATGCACTACTTCTTATGCATGATACCATGTTCAAGGCCGTAAATGGTGATAGAGCAGATGTACCAAATATCTGTATTGTTGTCGCTGACGGCTTGTCAAACATTAACTATGGCAGAACAATTCCCGAAGCTGACGCTGCCCGCAAGAAGGGTATCCATATTTATGCAGTTGGGGTTGGTTTACATGATTTAAGTGAAGTTGATGGTATCGCAAATAAGCCATCCAGTAGGAATGTTTTCTCCGTGAACAACTTTGATGAATTGGAAATTCTAAATATAGCAATATTTGAATCAACTTGCGCAGGTTAGTATGCCTAAACAAATTTAGAAACAACACTATTTAGAAGAAACAATTGCAACGTACACTTACTGTGCAGTATACCTTGACTACTGATGCCATCCAAAGTAACATTATTTTAAAACATAGTACCATCAGATGTTTCTAGACATAAAATCATACATAACCAGGAATTTTAATCAGAAATCAAATTCTGGGCATATTGTTTTTAAAGCGAGCGCAGCGAGCGTCGCTAAGCGACGCTCGCTGCGCTCGCTATAAATACCATGTTATAAATACCATGTTTACCATGTTTTTGATGGTACAACTACGCTCGCCCCAACGGTCACATCGTAAAACATATTAAGTCCCCTACCGGTGTAGACTAACGTGTAAGAACAGAAGAAATTCGGATTGAAATCTATACATACGTCAGCCAAATTTCTCTGAGCAACATTCCCAGAATTCCTGCACTATCCAATATCCTTTGCGCAAATAAATAAATAAATAATAACGTAAAGCATTAAAGGCTATCAGTTTGTAGAAATCTTTCAAAGAAACAAAAAATAACTCAACAATGTTTTTCAATCAAAATTGCACTAGTTCTATAGTTTCAAACAGACGCTCGGCTGTCTCCGTAAACTCCGACGAGCTCCGCGACGTCGTGTGACGTCACAACTAGTCGAGATGTCTCGTGCGGCTTAATGTTTGAAGTGGCTGATCAATTTTTAGAGTGTTTTTGATGGTACAACTACGCTCGCCCCAACGGTCACACCGTAAAACATATTAAGGACATTGGCAAGGTTCCTGGCTTTTGTATAGATTTTTTTAAGAACTCTTGAACAGGTGTAATGATAATAAACATGTTATATTCTGGCACATTTAACCCACCAAGCCACCCTTCCTTATTAGATTTTGTCAAATCAATGTTTTTACAATTCTCAATGCATTTCCTATGTAAAATGTTGATAAAAAGGACCTACTTAATTTTTTACCATAAAAATTTTCCGAAATCCAGTCATTTCAGAAAGTTTATTTATTATAAACATTATTGTATTCTCATTTCCAATCATATCTAGAAATCATGACTAAAAACACAAATTTAGAAACATGACACAGATCTACCAACACTGTTCATTATTTGAGAGTAACTTCCCTTAGAATCTAATTCGTATTCATAATGGTAAAGACTGTGTGACTGTTTATGTTAAGTAATTTACCATATTGGAAACAAATTATCTTTAAAATATTGGCATAGACTTGTTTTATATTAGTTTACAGTTACTACTATGTAAATGGTGCCTCCTTTGCACGACATCATTCAGTTACAGGTTCTCGGCATTTGTCATATCTTGTGATTGTCCTACCCAGCATGGCTATACGGTAAATAACGGTCTGTTGACCACTGTTTACTGTCTGTCCTGAACACAATGTACAACAAAACAATCACCTTTTTCTTTCTTGCTGTAGAGATGATTCTTCCCTTTGAAGGAAGCACATGTGCTTTTGTTTACGTCTGTAAAATGTACGCTTTATTGGTTTTCATTTCATAGAGAATTCTACACGGGAGATCACTCTCATTTACAGTTTTATAAGTGAATAAACCCATGATATAAACCTTTTTTCTCCGGATAACCGTGACTTGCCAATGTCCTTAAGTCCCCTACCGGTGAAACTGGAGGGGAATACAGGTTTCCTCTGCGTCTGTCCGTCCGTCCATCTGTCTGTCACACATTCCGTACATTTTTTGTAAGTGATCAAGTTTAAATGTAGTTATGTCACATTGATTTTTGACGGAATTCTGACATTTTTAATTTTTCATCAATAAATATGGTTAAAGATCGGGTTCGTGCTGCACTAAATTAATGATGCAAACGAGATGGTGATTTTGAAAATTATTGATCTGAAACTTGCAGGGTAGCTTTGATTTTTATGATTTAGAGACAGCAAAGCTTTCTAACAAAATCATTTAAGTTTTCTATGAGTTTTCTCATGTACATCACTTGTATATCGCCAAAATGCTTATAAATGTACATTTTCATTTGTATATTTCTTTAAAACGTATATTACAGACTTTGGTAAGTATGTGTAATTGTTTCATACGTATTTCAGATTTATCAACAAGATACATTACTTGACCATCACGTTTAACATTTTCTAACCCGTGTGTAGCCATTTGGTTGTTATTACTTCGTTCCTCTTCTTATAAAATAACTTTCACGCAATATTAAATAACTTTTCTATTATCTGTATCATTTTTCTTTAAAGTTACAACTGTTGCAACGCCTACGACTACTTTAAGTTTTAAGAATTTTTTAAAACTATTTAGTTAATAAAAATATATTCTTAAAACTTTCAAATTGATATATATTTTGACATGTTTTTACATATTTCATACATGGTCATTTCTTCATCATTTTCTCTTTTGGTGTCTAATGTCTCTAATTTCAAAGTTTTTAAAACCAATTATCTGATTCTTTGATAAGAATTTTCACCATTACAAAAATGGGAATAGCTAGAGGTGAAAAGGGATAAATATAACAAACATTGGTCCAGTTCAAACAAATCTATAAGTAATAAAAATCTGTAAAGAGGGCTTAAACGCGGAATGGAAATTACCAGATGTAAAAGAATTTTTTTTATTTTAAATTTTTTTTTTCATAGAGGCAATTTGATTACATTAAAGCATACCCAAAAAAAATTAGTGATTAAAAAAATAAAGATGAAGAAAGACAGGCTAAGAACGAAGGCATACATATTTATGCAATAGGAATTGGGCTGAGTGATGTAACTGAATTAAATCAAATAGCTTCCGTTCCTGCCTCCGAAAACACCTTTATTGTAAATAACTTTGATGAACTGAAAGACTTGGATGAGCGAATCTTTAGATCTCTGTTTCCTATTTAGTATTAACGTATCAATTGATTTTTATGAAAAACAAACTTCAATTCAATAAAAGGAACTTTAGTTTGATATTTTTCTTTAATATTTTTAAAAATATTTTTTCCAGTATGATCACCAAGACCAACCAGAACTACGAGTTAAACGTTTTTTTTTTTACTGAATATATTATAATTTGAAATTAAGGAACGTATCGAAATAAAAAATAATTCTTTGATTTCAAAAACATTTTTCACAAACTAGTAAATACAAATTCTATTTCATATTTTATAGCCACAATCACCACCAGGACACTCTCCACAGCTACACCAAATAAACTAAATATACATGTATATACATGTATGTATAAAGAAAGTTGTCTTGTGATTATACATTTTTTTTCGTTAAAAGGTTAAATTATTGAACTTTTGTCATGTTAATTTTACATTCTGTTGAAAAGTACAAACCAAATGTTATCCATTTCTGTCTGACATAGTCGATGAAGATGTAGAACCAGCAAGACCGAGACCAAAACCTACAACCACCACCACTACCACCACAATGATGCCAACTACAACTATCAGTAAGCTTAATCAACCATACAGATAATCAATTAAATGAAACATGCTAAATTACATGTACGTATATCAACGTAAGATAAATTCACGTACATGTATATGATTTTGAATTCGTTTTCAGATAAAAAAATCTCCTTTTCTTTTATTATAATTTGATATACGTTCAAATAAAAAGCATTGTTAGAACTTGTGCTCAAGTTTAAATACTTTAAAGTACGCATATCTTCATATTATTATATTCCTTGGGATATAATTTCTTATTCTGACATTTCACAACGTTACATAAATTTTGAGAAAGTGATTTGATGTGCTTAAATTTACACACCTGATCCCGACAACTTTCTGATTTGACGGTAGCTATTCATTTCAAAACTCTTTTACTTTGAATTCCGAAATTTGAATTGTTGTATCTGTTGCACCTTTTAATTTTGGACAAATATTTGCAATTGTATGAATGCAAAGCTACCTAAAACTTACCTAGACCTTGTTGCATCCAGAGGAACATGGGGCCTGGACTAAGTCATTTTCTTATTCTCTATTTTTGGCTATCCTTTCAAGCACGTTTAAGGTAAGTTTCACGTCTTTGAGTCATTGAGTTTTGTTATTTTCAACAATTCGACTTCATTTGTGTTTTATCAACCTTTCCTCCCTTTCTCTTCTAGGGTCAATCTGAGTGCAACTCTTGTAATATCATTGCTCTCTTAGGACGTGGTTATATCATTATTTTCTGTTTTTCCTTAATAAAGTCTTCATATCTGCTTTTTTGTTATTTCATTAGGAGTTTTTTTTTTTGGTTACTTTTGTAGGCCAGGCAGAAAATCCATGAGATTTTTCTTCTGCGGCATGCACTAAGAAATACAGTAAAACTTGTTTACTATCACGAATATTGCGAATTTAAGGATATAGCGGAGTTATCTCGGATCCCCAGCTTTATAAATTTAATGAATTCCTTATATGGATTGAAGGAATTACGGATATAGCAAAGTAATTTCATAGGTCCCAGTGATTTCGTTATAAACGAGTTTTGCTGTACTTGCTAGTTTGTTTATATCCCTTTAAGCCATTTTCAAACATTCAAGACAATACATTTTTACAAATAATACTCAGCTATAAAACAGCTTGATCTTAGCGTGTCTACTGATCCTATTTGATTTTTGTTTGTTTTAAAATAATCTCTGCTTTTATCTAATCCTCCTTTTGTGTCCTTGTCAGCACCACCATCTGGTATCACTGTCCTTTTCAGATATGTAACATAAAGTGCTTTACATCTCTTCCATTTATTTGTATTTGAAGGAGGATTTTCAGTATTCAGTGACATACCTTCTTGTTGATGTTCAAACCAATTTTGATGGCACTTATTTGTAACCTGGTTGTTTTTAACTTTGCATTTGTGTCTCCAGATGAGAAACTTAAAGAAGTGACGGGGCATAGTTTAAGTCTACTAGATTACTAAAAAGAGTCATCTACTGGATGCCTTTGTTTTCTTCACTGAGGGTTGATCTCGATATAAAAATGTTAATCTGTTAGTAGAGGTAGTAGGAAACCCTCTCATAGAAATTGACGATATATCATGATATTGTCAACGCATTCTGAATAGGTTAAATGTGATAACTCAAAATTTTTACTTCTTATTGTACATGAGCATCTCAATAAAGGTACATATAATGTCTACAGTGAAATATATGGAAATTACGAAGAGTAGACAAGATCAAAAGTCCATTAAACAATACAAAATAGAATCAGAGCAAACACTGATCTTTAAACATCATCAGATGCCATGAAAGAGTGAGCATCCTCTGCCACCGGTCACATCCGCTGTGTCTCAATTTTCTTGATGTTTATTTATGAAGGGTATGGAGATAACGAAGAGTATTCAATATCAAAGTCCATAAAACAATACAAAATAGGAACGGAGCAAACAAGAACCTCCAAAACATCAGAGGTGGGATCAGGTGCTATGGAGGAGTGAGGATCTCCTGCCGACCTGTCACACCCGCCGTGCGCTCCTTGTCATGATCGGGAAATAACAGAAAAATCTAATTGCTTTGTCTTTATCTAACATCACATTTCTGTGGTTTAAAAAATGCCCTTAATGTCTGCAAATAACATAAATGAAATCCAAGTGAATACGGTGACTGATATGTAGCACTACTGTTTTTAGTGCCTACAAGTTCTTAGTTAAAAACATTAACTCAGTACAAAAATATAGAAATGCTAAAGGGGGGATAAAATATAAAATTAGGGGGAAGGAGGGTGGGTTTAAATTTTTTGCGTATGCTTCATTTAAATTACGGAATAAAGAAAAATATTTTAGAAGACATGCGCATACACCAAATATCAAGATTTTTAAGCACATGTATTATGAACGCAAGACACTAAGAGTTATCGATCTTTGATTGTGAAGAATTAAGCTGCACGAAATAAGCAAGTTTATCCATATTGGAAGATACCATAGATTCTGACACTTCTGTTTCATATTTGGATATTTTAGTTGAAAAAAAAACTAGATTAATAATAAACTAGATTAATGATAAAATAACAACCAAGCTGTATGATAAACGTGATGACCTTAACTTTTCAATTGTCAACTTCCCTTTCCTATTCAGCATTAAAAGATTGCTGTGATGTCATTCCCTTGTTCTTGCAGTCTTGAAATTTACCTGTGACAGTCCGATATTAGTGAGCAGTCTGATATCAATCGTCATTTCACTGTCTCAGTACTAATATCCTTCAAAATTGGAATGTTACTGAAAAAAAGAAATAAAAAATTAGATTATTTAACCAACAGCAATTTAAATTTCTCACATACAATGATGATTTTGAAACACTGATTATACAGAATTGCAAAATTAAAAAAAAAATTTTAATTACACATAATATACTGCAGCTGAAAAGGGAACATGTGGCAGACCAGAACATGCAAAAAAGAGGGGTTAAAGTTCTAATAAAATTATTAAACTTGAAGAAATGTTTCAACCCCTTTCTCTGGCTTTTGAAAAAGAGTAGGTATACTGGGGTTCACCAGAGAAGCACAGAAACTTTAAAACCCCAAAACCAAAAATAAATTCTAAATGGAACTATAAAGAACAATATTCAAACAATTTGATTTCATTTTCCTTAAGAAAGAAAAATACCTTTGCAAAATGAAGGTAGCTAGGCCTAGTATATGATAATATTTAGATTGTCAGATTTGCAACACATTTTGGAAGAAATTTAAGAATTTCAACGTTTCCCTCAAAACTCCTGGATTAATTAATCATTCAATAGATTGTCTGTATGATATTTCTTTACACTGCTTTAATCTCCATGTATGTTTTAAGGAAGAACAATTTTGACACAACTCTCCTTCAAATTATTTCAAATGCCTTTTACATGTACTGTGTAGTCGAAACCGTAAATACTGAGTAATTTTCATTTAAGCCTGCATTCTTGAAAGAATTGCTTCAGTGGTCATTAACACCTTTGTCTTTTGTTCTTATATCGGACTGTCTCAGGTAAATCAAAAAGCAATGTTTTAAGAACGGTAGAAGGTACATGTATTGGTAATATGCCTCATACAGTTCTGTATTAGAAAATCAGACAGTTTGAGGCCCATTAAGGTCGCAGGTTCTCGGTTAATACGGTCTCATCTCAAAGACCGGTATCCGCAGTGAAATTGAACCCGCTACGAAATGATCAATTCCTTACTTCACGACTCTTGAGCAGCTAAACCGACGGACGGACATCCTGATTACTATATACCATACCGCTTTTCAAGCGGGAGTGTAAAAATGACCCCCGAGCTATAGAATAAAAATCATTTTTTTACATGTGGATTGTATAAAATTGCCCCCGTTGAAAAAATGACCCATTTTAGCATACAAAATTTACAAGTTTAAACTGATGCAAAGCATCAAATCGGCAGCATAAATACATGTGTATCATTTTAATGAATTTTCACAAAGAATCCATAGGAAAAAAAATACATGTGCGCATGGTACATATCATTAATTAATTTTCAGTGTGATGAAACGAAGAAAATAAATTCGTGTATATAAGATAGGGCACCTGCACTAGCCAGAGGTCCTGAGTCAACACGTTGCCGTTGGTCCAATTTCAAGGTGTTGACTCAGGACCTTTCAAGTTAATTTGGTTGCTAAGATGAAAATAGAGTAGTACATGTATCATCATAAAATTAATGAATAAAATACAAGTGCCACAAGTATAAAAAAAATTCTGGTTTAGAATGTTGACAATTTAACGTTCATCGTGCTGATATCGTGGATCTCTGTCATGAAAGAAAGAGAAACAGACGGACAACATACAAAGAAAAATCTCATTTGACCTAAAAGCAAAATTTGTATTTTTTATTTAACTCTGAATAAATATCTTTATTAGGTGAATGCTTCCAAAGAGTAGACTTAGTGTTTGTCTTGGATTCATCTACAAGTGTGGGACACAAGAACTTTGGGAAAATGCTAGATTTTGTCATAAACTTCTTACAAGCTACCAACATTGACGGAGGTGAAGTTAGAGTTGGTATTGCGACGTATAGTACAGGGGCAAGGATAGAATTTAATTTGAAAGACTATACCAATAAAAATGATTTGCTTAAAGCTGTTGATAACATTTCCTGGCAGTACGGCAGCACAAATACAGCCGATGCACTACTTCTTATGCATGATACCATGTTCACGGCCGTAAATGGTGATAGAGCAGATGTACCAAATATCTGTATTGTTGTCGCTGACGGCTTGTCAAACATTAACTATGGCAGAACAATTCCCGAAGCTGACGCTGCCCGCAAGAAGGGTATCCATATTTATGCAGTTGGGGTTGGTTTACATGATTTAAGTGAAGTTAATGGTATCGCAAATAAGCCATCCAGTAGGAATGCTTTCTCCGTGAACAACTTTGATGAATTGGAAGGTCTAAATAACACAATATTTGAATCAGTTTGCGCAGGTTAGTATGCCTAAACAAATTTAGAAACAACAATATTAAGAAGAAACAATTGCAACGTATACTTACTGTGCAGTATACCTTGACTACTGATGCTATCCAAAGTAACATTATTTTAAAACATAGTACCATCAGATGTTTCTAGACATAAAATCATACATAACCAGGACAGAAATCAAATTTTGGGCATATTGTTTTTATAAGTCCCCTACCGGTGAAACCGGAGGGGAATACAGGTTTCCTCTGCGTCTTTCCGTCCGTCCGTCTATCTGTCACACATTCCGTACATTTTTTGTAAGTGATCAAGTTTAAATGTAGTTATGTCACATTGATTTTTGACGGAATTCTGGCATTTTTAATTTTTCATAAATAAATATGGTTAAAGATCGGGTTCGTGCTGCACTAAATTAATGATGCAAACGAGATTGTGATTTTGAAAATTATTGATCTGAAACTTGCAGGGTAGCTTTGATTTTTATGATTTAGAGACAGCAAAGCTTTCTAACAAAATCATTTACGTTTTCTATGAGTTTTCTCATGTACATCACTTGTATATCACCAAAAAAGCTTATACAAGTACATTTTCATTTGTATATTTCTTTAAAATGTATATTACAGACTTTGGTAAGTATGTGTAATTGTTGCATGCGTATTTCAGACTTATCAACAAGATACATTACTTGACCATCACGTTTAACATTTTCTAACCCATGTGTAGCCATTTGGTTGTTATTACTTCGTTCCTCTTCTAATAAAATAACTTTCTCGCAATATTAAATAACTTTTCTATTATCTGTATTATTTTTCTTTAAAGTTACAACTGTTGCAACGCCTACGACTACTTTAAGTTGTAAGTATTTGTTTAAACTATTTTGTTAATAAAAATATATTCTTAAAACCTTCAAATTGATATATATTTTGACATGCTTTTACGAGGGTTGTCCCATAAAATCGTGGACAAAGCGTTTTTCTCGGAAAATAATGGACGCACTGGGCTGAAATTTTCAGCAAATGTTTATTTATCATACATGAGTATAATTTACTTTTTATGGTACAAAATAAACAAGAATAAGGATTTTATTGTGCCTTAATATGCGCAAGGTATGGTCCTACGGCGCACCACCAAAAACGGATAATTTCCCCCGAGAATGATAAACGCAATATTTCAAATTAAAAATTATTATTCGAATCAAATTGTGACAAAAATTATCTTATTTAAATTTCTGGTCTATTATGACGTCATTTTAAAAATTTCATGTTGATTGCGTCATTTTAATCAGTTTACCGAGCATTTGAAATGCAATAGTACTGCACAGAAAAGGAGGAAAATGTCGACGTTTGATGACGCTACGGCGCACCGGAATGACGCTACGGCGCACCGGAATGCTATCCAGTTTTGTGTAGATTTAGGAATGACGCCTGTCGGACCTTAAAACAATTTAAGACGACTGAAAAATATATGAATGTCTCAAGATCTTTAGTTTACAAGTGGCATGGGTGATTTTCGAGTGGAATTTCAGGTACTGAGTCCCGTGGGAGACCGACGCATACAGACAAACAACTACTGGCTGCTGTAAAAAATACCGTCGACACAGACCGTAGAAGAACAGTTCGGGAGATAGCAAGTTAAGGTGGATGTGGTAAAAGCACCGTCCATTGAATATTAACACAGAACTTTAGTATGTCCTACGTATGTGCAAGATGGGTCCCTCGCTTGCTTACTGAGGATCAGATGGCAACTCGTGTTCGAACATCAGTCCAATTCCTGGACCGTTGTAGGGCCGATCCAATTTTTCTGAGCAGAATAATCACAACAGATGAGACGTGGGTCCATTATCATGAACCTGAAAGTAAGCGGATGTCCATGGTTTGGAAGAATCAGGATAACCCCCCTCCGAAGAAAGCAAAAGTTGTCAAGTCTATGGGAAAAGTGATGTGCATGGTCTTTATGGATATATCAGGGGTTATTTTGGTTCATATGGTGAAAAATGGCTGTACGGTGAATACAAATTACTACTGCAAGGTATGTCTAGTTTTGGTACATGTAAAAAAAAAATTTTAATTTAAAATTTCATAAGGGCCTATTTAATCATAATAATTAAAATAAAACATTTGTATACTACTATATATTATATCATAATTTCTTCATTCCGTTGTGTATACATAGGTATTTTGGCACTGATAAGCCAAAAATCAAATTAATTATTTGTTCTTTGAAAATGCTTTAACGATTTTTTTTTCTTCATTTTTCAGGTAGTTCGCCGGGATTTGTTGCATGCTATACGGAAGAAGCGCCCACATATTGCAGAGAATCTTGAAAACATTGTATTTCACCAAGATAATGCCCCAAGTTATCGGTCGAAACGCACAGAATTTGAGTTGGACATGTTAAGTTTTCAAAGAATAGAGCATCCTCCGTACTCACCGGATCTGGCCCCGTTGGATTTTGCATACTTCCCAAAGTTAAAAGACTACTTAAGAGGTCGTCGTTTTGAGTGTCGCGATGAAATTAAGTATGAAATTAGAACATACAACAAGACCTTAAATTGTCAGTGGTTTGAAGATGTTTTTAATAAATGGATGTGCAGGCACCAGAAATGCATTGACAACGGGGGAGATTATTTTGAGAAGATGTAGAAAGTTGGTGACGTGCGAACAAATACTATGACGTTATTATCCGTGCGCCGTAAGGCAATACCATCTAGGACATTAAATGTCATATTTTTTTTTGTTTGAGCACATATCTATTTCAAATTTGCTATAAATATTGAAAAAATATATACTATATTATAGTAAAAATTTCGTAACGCTGTGTTGATTAGTTTTTAATCTAGACAACTTGTCTACGATTTTATGGGACAACCCTCGTACATATTCCATACATAGTCATTTCTTCATCATTTTCTCTTTTGGTGTCTAATGTCTCTAATTTTTTTTTAAACCAATTATCTGATTCTTTCATAAGAATTTTGACCATTACAAAAATGGGAATAGCTAGAGGTGAAAAGGGATAAATATAACAAACATTGATCCAGTTCAAACAAATCTATAAGTAATATAAATCTGTAAAGAGGGCTTAAACGCGGAATGGAAATTACCAGATGTAAAAGAATTTTTTTTATATTTTTTTTATAGAGTCAGTTTGATTACTTAAAACTATATCCACAAAATAAGTGATTAAAATAATGAATTGTTACCATTTCTTTTCCATCAGTTTATGGCTTTGAGAAGGTCGATTTGGTCTTCATCCTGGACTCCTCAACGAGTGTCAGTCGAAGTGACTTCCATAAAATGCTGAAGTTCTGTAAAGATTTCCTGAAAAAGTTTGACATCGATTCTGGGAGTGTTCGAGTTGGAATTCTAAGCTACAGCACAGAAGTGCATGATCACTTCTTTTTGAACGCCTATGACACTTCTACAGACATGTTCAATGCTATTGACAAAATCAGCTGGATTTTTGGAAGTACTAATACAGCTGACGCGATCAGAGATATGAGAGAGAAATATTTCTCATTCGCCAATGGCGATAGATGGGACGCTCGAAACATTGCTGTTATTCTTACTGATGGTGTTTCTAATATCAATGCAAATAGATTGCAAGATGAAGCAAGACAGGCCAAGAACGAAGGCATACATATTTATGCAATAGGAATTGGGCTGAGTGATGTAACCGAATTAAATCAAATAGCTTCCGTTCCTGCCTCCGAAAACACCTTTATTGTAAATAACTTTGATGAACTGAAAGACTTGGATGAGCGAATCTTTGGATCTCTGTTTCCTAGTTAGTATTAACGTATCAATTGATTTTTATGAAAAACAAACTTCAATTCAATAAAAGGAACTTTAGTTTGATATTTTTCTTTAATATTTTTAAAAATATTTTTTCCAGTATCATCACCAAGGCCAACCAGAACTACGAGTAAAACATTTTGTTTTTTTTTTACTGAATATATTATAATTTGAAATAAAGGAACGTGTCGAATTAAGAAATAATTCTCTTGATTTCAGAAACATTTTTCACAAACTAGTATATACAAATTCTATTTAATATTTTATAGCCACAATCACCACCAGGAAACCTTCCACAGCTAAACCAAATAAACTAAATATATATACATGTATGTATAAAGAAAGTTGTCTTGTGATTATACATTTTTTTCGTTAAAAGGTTAAATTATTGAACTTTTGTCATGTTAATTTTACATTCTGTTGATATGTACAAACAAATGTTATCCATTTCTATCTTCCAAAGTCGTTGAAGATGTATTACTATCAAGACCAAGACCAAAACCGACAACAACCATCACCATCACAATGATGCCAACTTCAACAAGTAAGCTTAATGAACCATACAGATAATCAAATTAAATGAAACATGCTAAATTACATGTACGTATATCAACGTAAGATAAATTCGCATACATGTATATGATTTTGAATTCGTTTTCAGATAAAAGAATCTCCTTTTCCTTTATAATAATTTGATACATGTTCAAATAAAAAGCATTGTTAGAACTTGTGCTCAAGTTTAAATACTTTAAAGTACGCATATCTTCATATTATTATATTCCTTGGGATATATTAAATTTCTTATTCTGACATTTCACAACGTTACATAAATTTTAAGAAAGTGATTTGATGTGCTTAAATGTACACACCTGATCCCGACAACTTTCTGATTTGACGGTAGCTATTCATTTCAAAACTCATTTACTTTGAATTCCGAAATTTGAATTGTTGTATCTGTTGCACTTTTTAATTTTGGACAAATATTTGCAATTGTATGAATGCAAAGCTACCTAAAACTTACCTAGTCCTTGTTGCACGAGAGGAAAATGGGGCCTGGACTAAGTCATTTTCTTATTCTCTATTTTGGCTATCCTTTCAACCACGTTCCAGGTAAGTTTCACGTCTTTGAGTCATTGAGTTTTGTTATTTTCAACAATTCGACTCCATTTGTGTTTTATCAACCTTTCCTCCCTTTCTCTTCTAGGGTCAATCTGAGTGCAAATTTTGTAATATCATTGCTCTCTTAGGACGTGGTTATATCATTATTTTCTGTTTTTCCTTAATAAAGTCTTCATATCTGCTTTTTTGTTATTTCATTGGGAGTTTTTTTGGTTACTTTTGTACGCCAGGCAGAAAATCCATGAGATTTTTCTGCGGCATGCACTAAGAAATACAGTAAAACTTGTTTAGTACTAACACGAATATTGCGAATTTAAGGATATAGCGGAGTTATCTCGGATCCCCACCTTTATAAATTTAATGAATTCCTTATAAGGATTGAAGGAATTAAGGATATAGCAAAGTAATTTCATAGGTCCCAGTGATTTCGTTATAAACGAGTTTTGCTGTACTTGCTAGTTTGTTTATATCCCTTTAAGCCATTTTCAAACATTCAAGACAATACATTTTTACAAATAATACTCAGCTATAAAACAGCTTGATCTTAGCGTGTCTACTGATCCTATTTGATATTTGTTTGTTTTACAGCTTGATAAAATAATCTCTGCTTTTATCTAATCCTCCTTTTATATCC